CCACTGTCAGATCTAGCTATTGATTTTGTGGGCCCACTAAAGACGTCCAATCACTACGATATGATTCTAACATGTACTTGCCGGTTGTCAGGGTTCACCAGGATCATTCCAGCCTTGCAGACAGACACAGCGGAACGCACGGCCACACGACTTTTTAATGGCTGGCTAGCGTTGTTTGGCGCGCCTAATTCAATTCTGAGTGATAGGGACAAAACTTGGACCTCAACACTATGGAAGGTACTAATGGAGAAGCTACACATCAAGTTTCACATGACAACATCGTTCCATCCACAAGCAGACGGGAGGAGCGAGAGGACTAACAAAACGGTTGGTCAGATCCTTCGAACTTTCACATCAAAACGTCAGGGGAAGTGGCTGGATGCAATCCCCGCAGCGGAATTCGCTATCAACTCGGCTATTAATGTCGCAACCGGCTATAGTCCCTTTGAGTTGGTGTTTGGGCGGAAAGCATCCTTATTTCCATCAGCGGATTCTACAGGGGAGACCCCAGATTCTTTGGCGAAGTGGGTGAAATGGCGAGAAGGGGCCTGGCAAGAGGCGCGAGACGCGTTGTGGACCAGCCGGGTGAAGCAGGCCATTCAACATAACAAAGGTACCAAGGAGCGGGGCCCACTGGAGCCTAACTCGTGGGTACTTCTCAACTCAGCAGATTGGAGGAGTCGACAACAGGGCGGGGTTGACAAATTGAAAGAGCGGTTTGAAGGCCCCTATCGCATATCACGTGTCAGCAACCACGGTCAAAATCTCACGCTGGAACTTCCAGAGGGCGACCGCCGTCACCCAACTTTCCATGTCTCAAAGATTAAGCCTTACTACTTCCGGGAGGACAGTGAAACCCTGGACAATTAGAAATTCTTCCATGTTGGATCCTATCACGGACGTCTTGCACTCGTCCAATTCCTCCGTTGATTCCTTTATTCTTTTCCTCCTCTACGTCTTCCTAATTTCCTTTCTTTCCTTTTTTTTACCTGAAGTTTTTCTTAATCTTTCATTTTTTTTTGGCTCAAACTTATAATCTCTTGCCTTCAGTTTCAATTTATATTTCCTAGTCTTCATTCACATTATAGGGGGGGAGAATGTGAAACCTCGCCACACACGAGTTTCACAAGGACAATCACACATAGCTTACATAATCATCATCTAATAAATACCTTTCAGATTCACTCTTCCTAACTCGGTAGAGAACCATTAACTTCTATTCTACCAAGCTAGGTGAGTTCATACTTATTGTTTCTTCTCTTTGACTCTTCTTCTCTTTTTCCTTTCTGTTATCATTTTTATTGACTATGAAGCTTGTACTGAGAGAACCATTAACTTCTATTCTACCGAGCTAGATACTCAGGTTCTAGAAAACGTTCTCTCCAGGCTCATTGCCTGTTCTAGAAGCTACTAAATCGACGACAGTGAAGAGCTCAGACGGAACTCTTACACTTAAATGTACATGTGCCTTTTTTTGGTTTTGGAAGGGATGGTGGTGGTGACTCGGCGTGATAGAATGACGTACAGATTTTCCGAGACCACTTTCACCGACAGCCATGATGGTGAAATGGAATCCCTTCTGTACTGATTTACAATGGACTTGGTTGGTCAAGTTGGCAACTGGCAAAAAACAAGACACAGAAGTGGTGATTGTTCATCAGTTGGCTGGCATGAGGTCAGGAGCCAGAAAAAAAATCAAAGGATGAACCTACAGCCAACGTATGTTGGATGAGTTCTTGATCAGGTTGTCCAATACGAATTGATTGGAGGGGAATGCCATCTCAATTGTGATTGATTTTTCAGTTTGTCTGTCTATCTAGAGTGGTGCTTTGTTTTGTTTCATGGTGTTTGTTTGTTTCGTTGTTGTTGTTGTTTCCCTTTTTTGAGTTCTTCTTGGGGAGGTTGAGTTGGAGTGCGCTGGGTGTCGAGTCGTCAACCCTGGTTGGTTGAGTCAGCATTCTAGTCAGGCACCCGGTTGATTCCCCGAGAGGGCTCGACATCCAAAACGGGAAGTGCGGTGGAGATCGACAAGGAAGTTTTCAGTTTTATCCTCGCTTTCTTCCCAATCATCAGGCTGAATCTCAAACTATCCTCCCTCTTTGGTCAAAGTACGCTACCCTCCTTTTCCTTTAGGTTTCTTCCCCTGCCCTGACATCTTGACCAATCAAGCTGCCCTCCCTCCCTCTTCAGAGCCAGCCACCCTCACCTGCTGGCCTGATTGATTAACCGATCAACAGTCGTAAGCTACTCTCCTCTCTTTGTAAGCTGCCTTATTTTTAATCTTGATCTACTCGCCAGCTACCATAACTGACATACATGTTCAATTCCCAGCTACCCTTCTTTTCTTGCTTGCTCAATTGGCCGATCAATTGTTATTTCATCCAGCAGCCCTAGCTTTGCCTGCTTGCTTGCTTGACCAACCAACCTACCCAGAGCCATCTACTCCAGAAAAAGCAGTTACCCTTCTTTTCTTGCTTGCCCGACCGACCAATCAATTTTTGTCAGGGGAGTGATAACCACACTCCACCCCCCTTCACACACACACTCCAACCCTCCCTTCTCTGAAGGGAGTGTGGGACCACACTCCAATCAAAATTGGAGTGCGGGTCCACACTCCAATCAAAATTGGAGTGCGGGTCCACACTCCAATCAAAATTGGAGTGCGGGTCCACACTCCAATCAAAATTGGAGTGCGGGTCCACACTCCAATCAAAATTGGAGTGCGGGTCCACACTCCAATCAAAATTGGAGTGCGGGTCCACACTCCAATCAAAATTGGAGTGCGGGTCCACACTCCAACGATCTGCAGGGGCAGTCCCCCAGCAGGTTAGAGTGCAGACCTGCACTCCAATTTTGATTAGAGTGTGAGGCTGCACACCAATGTATAAGCAAGGCAGGCTTGCTTACCTCGCTTGCAGGCTGGCATGCAGCCTTGCACACCAACCTGCAAACCTAAACCCATAGGAATATGGGTTTAGGTCGTGCCATATCCCATAGGACCCAGGGATGGGTCCTATGGAGATAGCTACCCAGGCTTTGAACCTTGAACAGACATCCATTCAAGGTTTGAAGCCTGAAGGCCATCATCCAAGGTTTGAACCTTGGCCAATGGCCTTGAAGATCCCTGTAGGACCCAGGCCTGGGTCCTACAGGGATTATACGTTTGTTTGTTTCTTAAGTCTTGGTGTTGGGGCTCCAGTCCAGCCCCGCAACACGTGTCCAGTCCTGAGCTCGGATCAGTCTGTCTGAGCTCAGGACTGAAGTTTTCCTCCACCAACCACCAACTCACGAGTCTATCGGCCAGCAATCAACCCAAACCCACCCAACCTGGCCACCCCGAGCCCCCCACAAACCCCCACAACCCATAAATCCCTGGTAAACACACACACACCAAGGCAAGAGCAATCCCTGTAGGACCCAGGCCTGGGTACTACAGGGATCTTCAAGGCCATTGTCCAAGGTTCAAACCTTGGATGATGGCCTTCAGGCTTCAAACCTTGAACGGATGTCTGTTCAAGGTTCAAAGCCTGGGTAGTCGTCTCCATAGCACCCATCCCTGGGTCCTATGGGATATGGCGCGGCTTAAAACCATATTCCTATGGGTTTAGGTTTGCAGGTTGGTGTGCAGCCTCACACTCCAATCAAAGTTGGAGTGCAGGTCTGCACTCCAACCTGCTGGGGAACTGACCCTGCAGATTGTTGGAGTGTGGACCTGCACTCCAATTTTGATTGGAGTGTGGACCCGCACTCCAATTTTGATTGGAGTGTGGACCCGCACTCCAATTTTGATTGGAGTGTGGACCCGCACTCCAATTTTGATTGGAGTGTGGACCCGCACTCCAATTTTGATTGGAGTGTGGAGCCGCACTCCAATTTTGATTGGAGTGTGGACCCGCACTCCAATTTTGATTGGAGTGCGGTCCCACACTCCCTTCAGAGAAGGGAGTGTTGGAGTGTGTGTGCAAAGGGGGGTGGAGTGTGATTATCACTCCCCTTTTTGTCAGCTACCCACAGCTATTTCCTCCCAGCCCTAGCTACCCTTCTTCACTTGCTTGCTTGCTTTACTGACTATTTTAAGCACCCCAGAGCCATCAGTATGGTCCCCAGCTATCATCACTATGACAAGCTAGCCTCCCTACCATCTCCAGATTCAGTTACCCTGACCAGCTTGCTTGCCTCACCAGCCAACTATTGTAAGCTAACCGGCTGTTTGACTGATTTCCAGTTAGCCAACCAAATTCAGCAACCGTTCCTGCCCTCTTCAGACATAGCCACTATCATTTTTATACTTGCCTAAACAAGACTTGTAACTTTGATTTCTCATCAACAATCAATTGCTATAAGCTACTGCTCTCTACACCACCTAGCTATCATTCGATTTATTGTTCAATCAACCGATCTACTACTCTCTACTCCACCTAGCTACCCTTCAATTCCTCGGTCGATCAACCGATTGATTGATTGCTATAAGCTACAGCTCTACTCCACCTAGCTACCATTTGATTTCTAGCTTGATCCATAGATTGATTGCATGTAAGCTACTGCTCCCTACTCCACCTAGCTACCCTTCAAATTCTTGCTCAATCAACTGATTAATCAATCCCTGTAAGCTGCCCATTTGTCTCCACTCCACCTAGCTACCCTGAAATTTCTAGCTCAATCAACCGATCAATAGACCGCTGTCTCCTACTGCTCTCTCCGCCTTCTAGCTACCCTTTGATTTCTCGGTCGATCAACAATTGATTGCTACAAGCTACTGCTCTCTACGCCACCTAGCTAGTTCGATTTCTTGCTCAATCAACCAATCAATCAATTGCTGTAAGCTACCCTTCAATTTCTTGATCAATCAACAATCGATGGCTATAAGCTACTACTCTCTAAGCGACCTAGCTAGTTTGATTTCTTGCTCGATCAATTTCTGTAAGCTACCCAGTGCTCTCTACTCCACCTAGCTACCCTTGCTGGGGCAAGCTCACCTCCTCGTAATCCCTGATCAAAAGATGGCCTTGCCAAGGCAACGAGGAGTAAACGCAAGCTTAACAAGGTCTTTGGATGGTCAGGTTGACAGGTGGGCTAAATGGCAGCCCACTTTTCTTCCTCTTATCTTTCACCTATCCTATCAATTTATGAGGCGTACTGATATGTTTTTTATTCATGATTCACATAGCAACTATGACTTTTCATCCTGATGATATCAGTGATTCCAGTCCAACAGATATCAGTAGTTCTTCCAGTGAGAGTGAACAGGAGGAAGAAGGGGTTAGTTCACTGACCTGAGGGGAAATAATTAGGTTTGTTCCTTTTTGGAAATTCAAGACCACATTACCCAATATTTCACTAATGATCTATTCCTCATTTCCAGCGCTTGCAGGGCGAAGAAAAAACGCAGACGTAATAAAAACTGGAGTGAGAAGAGAAATGCAAAGTGTAAACATGCTACAGAGATGTTTCTTACCAACTTGCCATCAAATTGCGGCTCTGTTATTTCAGATGTGAATGTTGTATCAAAGTGCAATCTGTTCCCCGAAATCACGGCTGAAACCAAACGAGCAAAGATCAAAAGGAAATTGGCAAGGAAACACTTCAAAAAGGCTGGTGGACCACTACCTCCCAAAAAGAAAATATCCAATTGGTTGCCTACTCCGGAGGAAATTGCGACTGCCAGTTCGATCGTCGGGGACCCTACAAAGTTTCGCCTCTACAAACATGGACACGTTTGCATCTTTGATAAACAATTGACAACAGAAAAAGAAAAACAAATTGTGGCCAATATCACTTTCACAGATCTCAAAACAATTTCCGATCAATTAAAGAGGGATGACTTAAATTTCTTGGTTGCTTTTTTAGAAAAATCAAAAAAATTTGTTAACTCTGTCGGATCCAAGTCACGATCCTGCGGTGGATATATGTGGGCGATTGGATGGAGAAAATCTATGACCAAATTCGAGATTATCAGACGCTATGTAAATAAAGCGGCCATCAAGAAGAACCAAGAACAATTCAATCAACACGTGAAAGATTCTGATCAAGCATCCTTAATCTTGTGGGACCTGTTTTATCCGATTGGTAACCGCGCCCTCGAAGCCAACCAACAATTTATGGCAGAATACAATCTCCCCTCCCTTTCTGACCCAGAACTTCCGAGTGAGACCTCAAAAGGTCACAATAAATTCTTCTCTACCAACCTCACTTTTACTTCTGATGGATTCTTTAATCATCCCCACAAGGACAAAAAAGATGATAAACGCCTTCCATTTGCTTTCTTCTTGTCCCTTCCAACTTTCAAGTCAAAAGGTCAGCTAGCTTTTGAATCTGATGGATATGACATCACTGGTGGGCAGTTTTTTTTTCGGAATGCGGCTTTGGGATTGATTTTAAACCTGACACAATGGTTCAAATGATATTTTCTCAAAGAATATACACACATGGAAATCTGAAGCCAACTGAAAATGGAAAATTTACTAAACTAGGGATGTCTTTACAGATTTCAGAGAAAAAAAACTAATATGTTAGATAGAATTCTAGCTGAGGAGTTTGTCACTAAACCAGAAATGCATGTGGGGGATGTTCCTCACATTATTAATCAAGTACAAGAATGAACTTTGCTTTTTATATTAGTTTTTAAAAAAATCATCTTTCTTATTGGTATCTGATTAGTTCTGAAATGAAAGGTATACTTTATTATAATTGAGTTTTATCTTATTTTTATGAAAGACCAAATCAAATCGTGACTCCAGTTATTTTCCTGAGAAAATATCAAAAATTGGAGGAATTGATTGATTTCAGTGTATGTGCAATCATAAGATTTTTGAAATTTGAAAAGATTCATTTATTTCCCAAAAAAATAAAAAATAAACAAGATCGTTCCAAAAAACAAAAAAGAGAATGAATCTAATTCAAATCCAATAACATTATCATGACAAAAAAAAGCGGAAGACAAACAGGAGTAGAAAAATGGATATAAAGAATTAACGTGTTACTGGGGTTACAACCATAAGATAGGAGGGAGCAAGAAAAATAAGACACAGCGAGAAGAAAGAGAACAAAATGAGACCAAAGGATACGATGAAAGATACCCAAGACAAGGCAAAGAGAGATTGATGCAGATCAAATCAAAAGAAAAGCTTTTTCATTCATGTTTTGTAATTATCTTCTTTTTTTTTTGAGTAGAGAAAGTAGAGAAGGAAGTATTGGACCAGGCACTTATTTTCAGGGGTCACCAGCCAGCTTCATCATCATCAACCAACATGGAATCGTATCGAGCCTCACGTGCATCCTCCTCTTCATCTTCATTCTCTGCTTCGGAAGTGTCCATTGAATCATCGACAAAATCACGGCCATCTTCTTCATCCTCCTCGTTTTATTCGTCTTCCTCACCCAACGTGTTCTGTAAATCAATTTTGGTTCCGTTGGTGTTGGTGTTACCGTCTGTCAGCTTGCTACTATGGCAGAGACAACCTGGCATAGCAAATAAAATAATAAATTACATAAAAAATCTAAGTATAAAGTAAAAATATTACATAAGTAAAAGAAACAATAGTACTTATGTAAATAAGATAAAAAATACATAAAAATAAATAAATAACTTAAAAAGTATAAGCAAAACCTTAAATATTATTGCAGATTCTGAATCAGCATACAATTTAACCTAGGGTACCTCAGCCAAAGGTACCCCAAATTCTAACTCCTTCACCTTGTAATACATGCAGGAATAATTAACAGGTACCCCCAGATCACGGGTACTGTGACTCTTCTGCATAATGCATAATGCACATACTCCAAATTCAGTCTCAGAATTGGAGTATTGTGCACGGTTTAGAAGATAGAGCAGTGTGGAGTCCTGTCTCCAAGCCCACGCGCCACGTAGTCATGCTGCGCACCAGTATCCAAGGATTGGGCCACAAAAGCCCCAGAATCCCCATTGCACGTGACAACAAAGCCCCCACACGTGTAATAAAAATATAAACAAGCTAGAATATCCATGAAAATACTACAGTAACCATATTCCAATGGGTAACACGTGTAGCAAGCCTCAGAAGACACCTCTGGAATATTCTGTGGCCCATTTCCAAGGAACCTGCTCCACGTAACAGAGTAGCCCCTATCCACAGGTCCCCATGGGACATTCTTGGCTGTAATAATTTCGTGCATGGCCCCTTGGAGCTTCTGGAATATTATCCCCAAGGTTCCAGCCCTGGTTACATCACCATGTGGGCCAAAATGGGCCAAAAAGCGCCCCCAAGTCCTACTAAGCTCCCCTGGGCAACCCCTGAAGCCTTCCACAGGTACTTAAAGGGCCTTCTGACCGCCCAAATAATGATCCCCCAGCTTTACAATACCTTATAGAAATTTACTTACCCTTTACAAGTCCCCTACACTTGTAATTAGCCTAGTTATTACTATTTTTGCTGTTATTAAGCCTCAAGAACCCTCAAGAAACTCCCCAGTGATCATCCAGCACCCAAAATCAACCTTTCTGAGCGCTCCCAACTGTCCAGTTTCTACTAAGAAGATCCTCAAGACCCCTTAGGATTATTACTAGTAAGTAATAACCCTTTCTTGAAGATTTTCCCCTTAAAATTATCTCCTGGGATTTAAACCACACCTGTTACAGGCCCCAGTGTATCAGGTACCTAAATCCTCTGCTTTTTGCACGATACCTTAGAGGGATTAAACCACCCCTGATTTATCAGGCCCCTCTGGTTTTATTTATATTAATTTTATTAATATAAATTGGCCACTTTTTGGATTTAATCCATAAATTCCACGTAATTCTTTTGAATTACTTGTACCAGTTTTATCCCAGAGTTTTTTCCATAAAAACTCTTATATTTTGCACCTTGTGTAGCTAGAGGACACTTGTCTTGGCATCACATAGGCTGACAATTGGGGGTCTGGCCGGGAAATTTTTATTAAAAATACCCTTTTTAATAAAATAAGCCACCTGGAATTTATTCCTAATTTTTTCTCACAAAATTAATCAAACCCATAAAAAATTATCATTTTTTTACGGCCACCTTTTTTATTACTTCAGAATAAATAAAAAATAAAAAAAATATACATATACAATTTTTTTCGTCACAAAAATCCAAAACCCTTAAAAAATATACCAACTTCTTATTTCCCATTTTTTCTCCGATTGATTTCAAACAAAATTTCTTAAAAAAAAAAAAAAAAAAAAAAAATCACCCTCTTCGTCCTTTTTAGTGAATTTGCAAGAGAACGCCGAGTTAATTCAGCGTTATCTTATCATCCTCAGATTGCGAAAAGAAGAAGCTGAGCGGAACTATCAGCCCACTCCCTGGGAACAACTCTCCGGCGAAGAACAACTAATCCTTGCTACCTACCACGCTCACATCCATCAGGAAGAAGACTTAGACCAACAGATCCAATTCCGAAGCTTCCTCAGAGATATTCGTGAAAAAAATACTCAGCTTCGACGAAAAAGGCATCTAGAAAAAAGTCAGACATTTTTTTTGTCCATCCTTCCTCTTTGTTCGAGAGTAAAAATTAATATTTGCTATCACCTTAATCCGTCTAATAGTGTCCACTTTCGAGACTGGAGTCATTAGGCAAGAAAGAGCAAGCCCAACTCCCTCAGTTGATACGGATAACGGATCCACCGATCAGACAGATTCCAGTTAGTCGCTAGAACCCTATCCTCGTCTCCTTCTTATATAAAAAGTTACCTCCGCTCGTCTGATATAGAAATGACCAAATCCACTAGATCGAACCACCCAGAGCTGCGAGGACTCCTCCCAGCTCCAACGCGACCTCGCGGCGGCAAAGGAGCTGCAAACCCGAGTGAAAAACTTACAGATGAACACTATCCGTCGCAAAGAGGCTCCAACAACGACTCTGGAGAATTCCCAGACTCCCCAAGACGACCCAACTCCGAGTATGGAGAAGGATATAGCTATGGACGTGGACGAGCTCGACCCAGAATGCTCGGCAGCTACCCTGAAACGCCCTTCCACTCCGGAGATTCGCGTCCTATCGAAGGAAGAACAAATCAAACTCCGGGTGAAAGAGCACGTCGGGCTCTGGAAGCAATGCCAAGTAGCTTCCAGAGAAGGGCCGACGGCAAGGCTCAGAGCCTTACTAACTACGGCTCAGGAGAGTCAGAAAACTCTTCAGAAACTTATCGACAACGACGAGATAGAAAGTTATGTCAAGGGATGGAATCCGTGGGAAGAGAAGAAAATCCACTTCCCAGCTCCCCCAAAGAAAACACTGATGAAGTTCAAGAGAAACGAGCCCGGCAAGAAACAAAGCTCAAGCTCGACAAACTTCTCGGATCCCGCCAAATGGAAGAAGGTGACGGATCTTCTCCAAATGGCTTCAGGACTGTACCAGAACGTTTAACAGATCCAAAAGTAGCTATCACTATTCTTGATTCATTAGAGACTTTAAATTTTAATATTTCTACGCTAGATTCCAACAGCGAAAGCAACTTCGCTACTATTGTACATAGTTTAGAATCAGCCACTAATAGAATGAAAGAGAATGTTGAAACAGTTTGCGTTAAGATAATGCAGCAACTAAATAAGCCTTTGCCCATTGAGTTGACGCCGAGAAACAGTGAGCAGATAACAGTCATCCAGAAGGATGTAGAATATCTCCGAGATATTTCTAAAGACACTAAAGAAGTAATCAACGAAGTAGTACAGTTTGCCAGGAATTCCGCAGCTCAGAGCACAGCCCATGCCGACTACATCCTCTCTTCTATCCGACAAGATGCCATTGTTGAGAACGCAAAATTTGAGAGAAAAACAAATGAGCTAAAGAACTTATTAATACAAAAGAGTGCCGATACGGATAACAAGATAGACCTATTGAGTAAATTAATACTGGAACAGTTCAGCTCAATCAAAAAAGAGTCCTCTTCGGTGAAGAGTAATAAGCCTGATGTACATACAGTCTAACTCCGACAACTTTGAAGAAAATAGACCTGCTAAAATAGAGGAAAGCAATCCAATGCGCTCTCAGTCTACTCGCCTAACGAATAGAGATGCTCCTCCGCATCAGACCAATAGTAACAATCAAGTTAGAAATTGTTTTGAGCATGAAGAAGAACCAAAGTATAATAACCCTCTTATGCAATCTAGTACTCGACCAATAAAAAGTAGTTCTCCTCATCCAATCTCTGCTGATCCCAGAATGCAGAGAAAATCAGATGAAGAGGCAGATTTCATAAGAAATTCCACACCTTATACGGCGGTTGAATTAGCCAATCTCAACAAATACATGCCTCCTATCAAGGACTGGCCTGAATTTGACGGCAAAGATGAATATGATCACATCAGTTTCATTAAATACATAGACTATTTGTTAAGGACTTACAATGCCCCAGATGATACTATTACTTCCAAGCTCCCTAGAATAATGAAAGGAATAGCAAGAGATTGGTTTGTTACCAAAAGCCAATCTGTAGGATTGCAAAGTTGGGCAACTTGGAAGGAATTAATTATTGCTAGGTTTAGTACCAGAGTGTGGAAAACCGCCAAAAGAATAGCTTTTGAAAGTGATTATTTTGACCCAGTTAAGCATTCTATAGGAGAATGGTGCTTACTCCAAAAGAAAAGGATTGAATGCATCTACAATAATCCAACTGCTGAAGAAATAAATGATAGGTTATTAACTCAATGCAAAGGGACTATAGAACACTTAGTCAGATGTAGGTTAAAAGATATGGATGTTGATCTAACAGAGTTTGTAGGAGTATTAGAGGAAGTTGTGATTATGAATGGCTTGAATAAAAAATATGTCAGAAGTAATATACCTGAAAAAAGAGAATTCATCAAGCCAGACAACGTCAAAGAAAAAGCTCCAGCAGCTGAAGCCCCCGTAAGAAAAGCTAGCATACCTGAGTGTTATAATTGTGGAGAAAAGGGCCACAAAAGACCTGAGTGCCCTAATCCCCGCAAAAAGATCAATAATGTGGAAGTTTATGAAGAGACTGACAGTGAATATGACTCTGGATCTCAGTTTGATGTCATAACCACTGAACCAGGAGAAGAGGAGTCTCATAGAATTGTGGTAATCCAAGCTGATATTGGTGATGAATTACATATCAATGCCATCCAAGGGGATTCTAATTTACCACAAAAATGGGATTCTTCCATGAAAATTGGTCATGTTTCTGATGCTAAATTGCTCACTAATAAACCAGAAAAAGGAATGAGTTACACTATGGGAAAAACTAGTTACACCTCTGTTTTATTTGAAGATAAATCAGTAAAAGCTTTATTAGATATTGGAGCCTTTTGCTCGTGTACCAGTAGCAACTTCTTAGATGAAATACATCCAGAATGGAAAATTAATTTGCTGCCTGTCCCCAAAGCAAAATTTAGTAGTTGTAATTCTTCAATGAAACCCTTAGGAATTGTAGTAATGCCATTAATCTTTCCGCACTCCAAAGGATCATTAAGACTGTCCATAGAATTTGTAGTTCTCCAAGATGCCATTTGTGATTGTTTGATCCTAGGAAATGACACTTTTTGCATGTATGGAATTGACATATTTCAAAGTAAAAACAGATTCTATACTATTGGGGGAGATTGGAAAAGGAAATTTCAAATTTGCAATGTGAATATCAAACTCCCTGATATACCAGATGAAATGACAGAAGAAATGATGTCCTTCAAAGCTGAATATCTGTCTCAAGCAGCTGTTAGTGATATTCTAGATGAGCAACAGAAATTAGATGTGCTTAAAACTTGCTTTGTGAATAAAGAATCCTTTTGTACTACTGAAGAACCTATTGGTAACATAAAAGGGCATGACATGAAGTTGGAATTAACTGTTAAAGAACCTTATCCTCCCATCTTGAGAAGACCCCCTTATCCTTCCAGTCCTAAATCAAGAGAAGCTTTAGAAACTCACATTAAAGAGCTAATGGAATTAGGCGTGCTGAGAAAGGTTGGACACAATGAAGAAGTAGAAATTACTACCCCAGTAATCATTGCTTGGCATAATGAGAAGTCAAGAATGGTTGGGGATTTCAGGGCTCTGAATAATTACACTAGACCTGATTATTACCCAATCCCACGTATTGATCACTCCTTGCATAATTTATCCAAAGCCAAATACATTACAACTATGGATGTTCTTAAAGGTTTTCATCAAATACCCATTGATCCTGACAGCAGACAATTTTTGAGAATAATTTGTCATTTGGGAATATATGAATATTTGAGAATGCCATTTGGAATCAAAAATGCCCCTTCCCATTTTCAGAGAATGATGGACTCAATTTTTGGCGCATTTATCAGGCAAGATTGGATGATGGTCTACATAGATGATATAATTATATATTCAAATGATTGGGAAACCCACTTAGAGAAAATAAATCTAGTGCTGAGTACCGCCATTAAGACTGGTTTGAAAATGTCCATTAAAAAATGCAACTTTGGTTATGGAGAACTCAAAGCTCTAGGTAGGATAGTATCTGGCCTAACCTTAGCTGTAGATCAAAACAAAGTGGCTGCTGTGATGAACAAGGCTCTTCCTCATAACTTGAAAGAAATGATGTCATTTTTAGGCTTTTGTAGTTATTACAGGCAACATATCCCTCAATTTGCCATAGTGAGTAAGAATCTATACGCACTATGCAAAGATGACACCATTTATGAGATGACCTGGGAAAGAGTAAAAAATTATGAAGAATTGAAAAGGTTACTCACTTCTGCACCAGTCCTAGCCCAACCTGATTATGACAAGCCATTTATACTTTATATTGATGCTTGTTTAGATGGGCTTGGAGCTGCTCTTCATCAAGAATTTATTGTAGATGACAAACCCATGGAAAAACCAGTTCTTTTCATATCCAGACAAATTAAGGAATCTGAGAGGAAATATGGAGCCAGCCAAATGGAATGCTTAGCATTGGTATGGGCTCTAGATAAATTACATTACTACTTAGAAGGCTCTAACTTTGTAGTTATCACTGATTGTACCGCAGTTAAAACTCTAATGAATATGAAAACTCCCAACAGACACATGTTAAGATGGCAAATTGCTATTCAGCAGTATAGAGGGCATATGACTATAATCCATAAAGCTGGCAAGAAACACATGAATGCTGATGGATTAAGTAGATGGGCACTCCCTAATACCCCTGATAACCCTGCATATGATCCTGAGGACGAAGACATATTTCCTATTTTGGGAATTCACGTATGTGATATGGAAAATGCTTTTTATGAATTAGTTCAGAGAAGTTATGACCAAAATAGTGAATTACTAAAATTGGTAGAAATATTGCGAAATGACAGTAGTCCCCCAGAACTAGCAGCTAGTTTACCACCTGTTCTGTCCAAACATTATAAATTAGGCAAATTCACGTTATTTGATGGTTTGTTGTATTACAGGCACAAACACTCAAGTGTACTTGTCTTATGTGATGAAGGACAAATAAAAAATATTCTACAGGAATGTCATGATAATGTAAATTGTGGCCACTTTTCAGAAGAAAGAACATTAGAAAGAGTTAAACAAACTGCCTGGTGGATTGACTGGAAAACACAAGTACATGAGTACATTAAGTCATGTGACACCTGTCAGAAAGCAAACAAACAGACAGGCAAGAGATTTGGCTTACTTCAGAAAATTGCTGAACCCACGGACAAATGGGAAATCATTAACATGGACTTTGTTACCGGATTACCCCCTGGAGGATCCTACTCCTACAACTCAGTACTAGTCATAGTTGATAGATTTTCCAAGAGGGCAAAATTTATTCCTAATCATAAAGATGACACAGCAATGGAAGTAGCTATGTTATTCTGGAATAGACTAATGGCTGACGTAGGCATTCCCAAAATAATCATTAGTGACAGAGACCCCAAATTCACGTCTGAATTCTGGAGAAACTTACATGATATGTTAGGCACTAAATTAGCTTTCTCCACAGCTTACCACCCACAGACTGATGGCTTAGCTGAAAGGATGATACAAACCCTAGAGGACATGCTCAGGAGATTCTGTTCATTTGGATTTGAGTTCAAAAATCATGATGGATATACTCATGACTGGGTGAGCCTACTCCCTGCCTTGGAAATAGCTTATAATAGTAGCATACACTCCTCTACCAAAGAAGCTCCTTATATACTTGAAAGAGGATGGATCCCGCGCATGCCCAAAGACACCATCAATGACAAATTACCTCATGTACACCCCACAGCATTAGACTTCAAGAAAATGTTGGATTCCACAAATGTACATGCCAAGAAATGTGTTGAAGATGCTGTAGAGTATAACAAGAATAGGTGGGATAAAAGCCATAAAGAACCTGAATTCAAAATTGGGGATAAAGTACTTCTGTCCACAGTGAATTTCAACAACCTTGGCGGAAACAAGAAACT